AAATCAGTATAATATGCTGATCTGCTGCTCGAGAAACATTTCTGATTATTATCAATGTTGAACACAGTCGTGCTGCACAATATTTTTGTGGAAATTGTTCAAAAGTTTGGTTAAATTAGAAAAAATTAAAGATTATGTTAAGAATTTTTTTTTTTTTCATATTTATTCAATACTTAATATGCATCTTTAACTCCAAAGTGTCTTCTTGGCAGGGTTTATATAGTGAAGTAAATGAAAACCGTAAAAAACTTACTTGAAATAAAAATAAATGTTAAAAAATATAAAATATTTTTTTTAAATCTCATTTTAATTTAGTTTAACTTGATGTGCTAAAATAACTCAAATTAAAACTGAATTAAAAATGAATAAAAATATATCTATATAAAGAAAAAATGATAAGAACAGCTATTTGAAACGCTAATAATATTGCACTATTTTTACTGTATTTTTGATCAAATAAATGCAGCCTCAGTGAGCAGAAGAGACTTCAACGACTCCAAACGTTTGACCGATAGAGTATGAATCAGAAATGAGAGCATCCGAGCTCCTGTTAATCAGCAGAGAGTTCGTTCACGAGGCTTATCTGAGCGGCAGGAGCAGCGGGAGAATCCCGCCTCATTGTTTTAATCGTTTCGCCCGCTTTAAGAAGATTACTGCAATGCTCCCGCAGCAGAGGCTCTCTTAGACACTAATTGTGGGCGTCGGATTCTGATTTTTCCCAATGCAAATCCAATTGTGGGGCTGCACGAGGAATAAAGCGACCTCCCGACAGAGTGGGTGTATTCCCAAAACTGGGACTAACAGGACTGCATGATGCAGGCGGATGTTAAATTGGATTATTAAAGCGCACGGCGGTTGCCAGGTCTCAGGGAAGCGTGTGGATCGTGATTTAACACAGCTCTTCTGTGAGCTTACGGACTCCATTACGATGGCTGGCGCTCCTGAAGGGATTTTAGGGAACGGGAAACATTAAATCACCAAGGTGTGTGGCGACGCGCTGTTAACGACGACTTTGGTTAATGAAGGGTCAATTCCAACCATCTGCCAGCACACGAGCTTAATCGTCTGTTATGAGAGAAAATTGATTCCCCCCCTTCTCTCGGAAAGATGTTTCAGAGCTTGCGCCGGAAGACTTTTCGCGATTAGCAAGGTGTAAAATATTCGTCCTAATGTAACGTCAAATATCATTCGATCACAGCTCATTAGATCTGGCAGCCTCAGACATCTGCTGGATATTTTATTTAATGCCATGTCAGCATCTTTAGGCTATTTTCATGGCAAAAACCATTCACAAAATACAAACCGGCAAACAAACAAGCACAAGTTATATATCTTACACTAACATTTGTGACCCTGGAGCACAAAACCAGTCATAAGGGTCAATTTTTCGATAATAATAAGCTTTCCATTGATGTATGGTTTGTTAGGATCGGACAATATTTGAAAATCTGGAATCTGAGGGTGCAAAAAAATCTAAATATTGAGAAAATCATCTTTAAAGTTGTTCAAATGAAGTTCTTAGCAATGCATATTACTAATCAAACATTAAGTTTTGATATATTTACGGTAGGACATTTACAAAATATCTTCATGGAACATGATCTTTACTTAATATCCTAATGATTTTTGGCATAAAAGAGAAATGTATAATTGTGACCCATACAATGTATTGTTGGCTATTGCTACAAATATCCCCCAGCGACTCAACACTGCTTCTGTGCTCCAGCGTCACACTTCATAAAAGAGTTTTCTACAAGCGGGACCGTCCAACAAAATACGTTTAGACATCTGCTGGACGCAAATATGTTACGCTACAATCTTAATGATGAATTGTGATTTGCATAAACATCAGAATAACAGCAGAGGATCACAGGATCTGACGAGACGTGTCTGAAGGCAGAGCAGAATCTGTCACACGTCCAGAATTCCTCATTAAGGACACGGGACTATTATGCTAAACGTGACCTCGCCGCGCGAGCTAATCAAGAGTGAAGCGGAGGAAACAGAAAACACAGCCTTCATAAAAGAGTTTTCTACAAGCGGGACCGTCCAACAAAATACATTTAGACATCTGCTGGACGCAAATATGTTACGCTACAATCTTAATGATGAATTGTGATTTGCATAAACATCAGAATAACAGCAGAGGATCACAGGATCTGACGAGACGTGTCTGAAGGCAGAGCAGAATCTGTCACACGTCCAGAATTCCTCATTAAGGACACGGGACTATTATGCTAAACGTGACCTCGCCGCGCGAGCTAATCAAGAGTGAAGCGGAGGAAACAGAAAACACAGCGAGCGCTTAATTTCATCTAAACGATGCGCTCAGGGCCTGAAGCTACGCGAACGCAAAGGTTAACGAATTTGGTAAATCAAATCTGATAAGGATCCTTCACATTACACAACAGAATCAACACGCTCTGGCAATTAGACGAAGAACACTCCCTGATAATGAAATGCGTTTAATGTTTCACACACATTTGACAAAGAGGGTCTGAAAACAGCGTTTTGTTCTGTGAGCGGCTGAACCTTCAGAAAATTACATTAAAATTCAATATTAGATGCATTAAAATATTTTCATATGAGTTAAAAAAAAAAGTTGTATTAAATAAATTTACATTTGATTTAGATTCAATCTTTTCAAATGAGTTTAATACACAGTTTAACACATTTTTTCTAGCAATAGAATTTAAATGAGAATTATTATTAAGTAAATTCATTTTTGAAAACCTAGGTTGAATGTTAACCATAACCCTAACTCAGTCTGGCCAAGCTAGACTGCGGTAAACTGCGGTAACAGTTGCACACTAAAGGTTTGGCCATTACAATTTAATTTGATTTAGTTAAATTCAGTAAAGAACAACATAAGCATCTAAAAAAGATACTTCAGAATAAAAAATAAGTTATATATATATATATATATATATATATATATATATATATATATATATATATATATATATATATATATATATATATATATATATATATATATATATATATATATATAAACACACACACACACACACATATATATATATTAAAAATAGGTTAAGAATATTTATTATTATTTATTTTTTATTTATAGCTATGTTTTTATATATTTGTAGCTATTGTGTATTTATAGTTAACTAAAATTATAAAACCATAAATAGTTACTTGAGATAAATGTTAAGTGAAATAGAATAAAATTTGACTTATTTTATAAAATTTTTTAGTTACTTTATGTACTAAAATGACAAATTAAAACTTCAATAAAAAAAAAAAAATATATATATATATATAGATATAT